GAGACGACCGTAAAATTAATTAATACGTTACGTTACGTAACGAACGAACGAGACGACGCACGACCTACCTACGTACTTTCGTTTCCGTTCCTCTCTCTCTCTCTCTCTCTCTCTCTCTCTCTCTCTTCTATTCCTAATCTCCCCCCCTTTTTTTGAATTGAATCGATTACCAGTCCAACACTACCGCTAAAAAATCCGCATCAAATCTAAACACTCTTATAAACCCCACCTCCCCTCCCATCTCAATGGCCTTTCATGTCGCTTGCCCAATTACATGGTTTGTTTCGTTAACACCCCATTTTCGTCTCCCCGCTCTCTCTCTCTCTCTCTCTCTCTAATTCTCTCCCTCTCTAACCCTCCACATCTCAGGCCTCGTCTGACCCCTTTCTCTCTCTAGCCCTCTTCCCCTCTTTGTATCTCTTGTTCTCTCTGCCCCATTCTCTCTCTCACTCTGTCTCCTTCCTCTCTCTACCCATTATCTCATTAGCGCTTTTCCCTCTGAATTTTCCCTCTTTCTCTCCACCCCATCTTCTCTTTAGCCCTCTGTCTCTCTCTATTTCGCCCTTTGTGTCTTTCTCTCCACCTCATCTTCTCTTGAACCCTCTCTCTCTCTCTCTCTGTTTTCCCCTTTGTGTCTTTCTCTCCACCCCATCTTCTCTTTAGCCCTCTTTCTCTCTCTATTTGCCCCTTTGTGTCTACCCACTCTCTTTTCGACCCTATCTTGTGGAATTTTTATTTATCTATTCTTACTATGGGTTTGTTTTGATGTGTTGTTTCAGCCAGAGAATTTGCTTTTGCACTCTTGGGTTCCCTGAGAATTTGCAGAGTGAGAAAGGGAGGAGAGCTTTTGTGGATGAAGTCAATGTTCTTGAGGATATTTTGAAGGATCCTTGGTTTCTCAGAGCTGGTGGGCGAAAAACCTTGCAGGTTCAAGTTCCTCATGTTGAAAAAGGCGATGGGTTATCCAAGAAACAAGGGGATTCGGTTACGGGTGTTGATGGAGAAGGTGAGGAGCTTCAGTCCGTTCAGACAAAGCGTGTTTCGTTGCAAAAGAAGGCCATTGCTGCTTCATTGGCTGCTGAAGATCTTGCCCGGAGGTTTGAAACCGGCAATTTTGCAGTAAGTTTTTTCCATGGGTTTTTCTTTCTCTTTTATTTGTTCCAAAATTTAAGCTAAATAAAATTAAATATTGAAGCAATGGTGAATTTTTAATCTTAAACTTGATGCAAGGATATATTTTGGATTGTTCGGAAAAAGAAGCAAGAGTTTTTTTGGGGATTATTTGGACTGCCTTGTTGGGAATTATGCATGCTGGTTTTGATTAATATTGGTAAATTATGGAAGAAGAGAATTTGTTTGGTCATTTAGAGTGGTGTGTGGGTTCTTTTAGATGTTTGTTCTGAACTTCTGATTAGTGTTATTGAGTGTTGATTGTTTTTTCTGGGTGATTATTTGGACTGGTGCGTTGGGAACTATGGTTGTCTTTTTTGGTTAGTATTTTTGAACTATTTGAAATTAGGTTTTTAGGGTGATTATTTGGACTGATCTCTAGGGAGACATAGGTGCTTATTCAAGCACTTTCTATTTCATATTTATGACTTTATTTTTTTCACAATTTTTGCCTGGTTTTGAATTTTTAAAACTATTGTGCAATATATATGGATTGACTGATACATTTGGCTTTCCTAGTTTTTGATGCTTGTCTTGATAGTCTTGAATATGGGTTCTGAGGCCCAGGCTCTGAGTTCTCACATGTTGGGTTTACTTATGGATCTGTACACATTGGTGGAATTGTTTAATTCTTCGTTTGCCTCAAAGAAAAACTCTTTCAAATTAATAGATTGAGCAATGCCTATGATTTTTCATATTGTACGAGAGCGATTTGGCAGTCTTATATTTCTTGTTGATTGGAATGTGTTATGGTTTTATAATGTGAAATTACTAATTTGACGATATTTGTGGTTGTATTTTTTTCTCCTTTTATCAAGTAAGAATATGAATTGTATTTGTGCTTAAGTTTCTGTCCTTAATCTTGCAAAGGGGTTCTATTTCGATGAATATTGAGAAATTGATCATCGAGGGACATGCGGGATCCCTTATTGAAATGGTACTATTCAATGTTTCAGAATATGTTTGGGTCTCTGATTGCCATGGTCTTTGGCTCTGAACATTATCTTCTTTGGAGATCACTATTTATGCCAGTATAGTCCGTTAGGATCTCCAGATGGTTTACCATGGTTCAACCAATTATTTTACAGTGATTCTTTTTTGAGATGTTAACCATTTGAATTTTTTACTCTTATGGTCTGTTGGCTACATGTCAGTATCATACAGTTTGCAAAATTGTTTTTGATGTGACTATTTTTTTTAGAAGAAGTTTGATTGGGCAATTGGTCTTTTATCCTCCTCAAACAAATGGATTTTGCAATGTTATGTTGGTCATTGCTGTCCTTTTTTCCTTTTCTCTGTATGTCATTATTTTTTCTTTTTGTCATTCTTGTCATTGTCTATATCAAAGTGTGTATGTTGTTTTAGATTGATAATGTCATCGTGTAAACACTTTCTATTTGTTTATACTGTCATTATTTAGCATTTGCGGCAATTGGAAGGTATTTCTTCACAGCTCTCTCTCTCTCTCTCTCTCTCACCCCTATGTGTGTCTTTGTCGACGTGTGTGTGCATGTGTGAATAGTTAACTTGTATATATGTTTTCATTATAAGTACAGCTGTTCTTGCTCCTTTGTTTATGTCTGTGTTGTGTGTTAATAGTTAATTCATATTACGTTTTCATTAACTTATAAGTTAAAACTATTCTTGTTCCTTTGTTTACGTGTGTGTGTGTGTGAGAGCTTTTTGGTGGAGTTCATTTATTCTACTTTTATGATCTGGGTGTTTCTTTGAGAGCAAAATGAGACCAAGTTACATGCTCCAAGGCCATAGGTCTCAATCCTTGGCACCTTTGATCATCTGCTTTTGTTTTCTTTTTGGCATGATAAACTTAAGGTATACTCCCAAGCATGAGTGTAGTATGTCAAAGACACTCAAACTTGTAAAGTTCATTGACTAACCAAGGGCCTAGTACGATAAACATTGCATTTTGTTGGTTTAGTGCATCATAAAATGCACACATACTTGTTTCTTAACAGATATTTCGATAAGCTATTGTTTTCAATTGATTCTTTAGTTCTAATTTCTAAATGTTAAAATGGATGCAATATGTTCGTTGAGGATGGATACTTCCATTTTTCTGGGGTTACATAAAGGACTATATCACTGGCATAATTGTGAAAATAGAGGGATGCAAGCAAGATGCTTGACAAGTTTCGGGGCATAAGGGGTGGGGCTTAGTTGAAAGGCACACTCTCTCACTCATGATTCATGATTCTATGTTTCTGGATTAAGTCCACTAATGGGATACGTTCGTGTCTGTAGAGGACACGTTTGTCCCTAGGAAACATGTGTTTCTCAAAGATGGAAGGTTCACAGATATAAACCTTCTTCTCAAAAGACAGAACCACAAATTTCAACCTTGCAGGGAATTCAATTCTCTCAATTATGTTACAAATCCTTGTTTTGTTTGCTAGAGATATCTTGTTTTCTTACAACTCTGAATTCTGTTTTTAAATTTGTTCAACTGGCATATAGCAAAAGATCAGCAAAGACAAAAAGAAGTGACATAGTGATTAGTGCTGGTACATAATACAATTATAAAAAGCTAAGACATACATGATAATTAGCACAGGCCATCTTACTCTTTTAACGCTGTTCCCTATCCTTCTTTTTATTCTTTTCTTCTCATTGTATCTTATTTCCTCTTTCATCTTTATGGGCGAAAAATTTGTTCATGTCTTCCATTTCAACCCACAGGCAGAACATATCTGATGTCAAATTCTTAAACTTTACATAGGCCAGTGACTTGACTTTTATATATGTTATGCTGTTGTCTTTGTGCAACCGTTCATCATCTGTTGCCTTTTTTTCCATGTTTACCTGCTAGAAAGGGGTAAGTGCATCTCCTTTATATATTTCATAGATCGTTTTTATGAAAAGTAAAAGAGAAGAACACCAGTTTTGGATGTGGGAAGTGGGGCTTATGAGCTCCTTAGGTAGAGATAGCTATGAAGAAAGACCCTAAATAGAGTTACAGCCCCATAATGGGGCTTTCATGCTCTCTCATGGGGACAAGCCAACATCGATATGTTGGGCTGCAGGCTTCACTAGGAGAGGGGCCTAGTGACCACATTGTGGTTCCCATCCCTTTGCTGCTCTTGACCTCGTTCCTTCTAAAAAAATTGAACCCCATGGCTTCTCTTGCTTTTAGTCCCACTTTATGATGTTAAGGATGAGATGGAATTTATGGTGTATAGCCCTTGTAATATTCGTATTTGGGTGTCCGATTTCTGAAGCTTGTGGAGGCTCATCAATGTGTTAGAGGAGTTCCAAGATACTGCAAACTCTCCAGAGTGCTCCTTTGGCCTGTGTAGAAGAATGGCAAAAAAATGGTTGATGCTCGAGCCTGTAATGAGACCTTGAGGATGGAATTGAATGCTTGAGAGCCTTTCTAAGGTGTTTCTAGCTGAGCTATGCAGTATGTTTTCCAGTAATATGAATTTATAAAAAACACCTAATATCAGTTAGAAACCTTGAAAAAGAGAAAATGGACATGCTGACCAAAATTATGAAAGGCTTAGATCTCTTTAAGGGCAGAGTTGCAGAAAGTGGCTCCCATGCTAGTGTGATGATCTAATTTGTAATTTTGAATTTGAGGCTAAGTCCTCCAGTCCCAGCTGATCCTCCATTGAACTCTATACTTGCAAGCAAATCTCTATGAATTTGTAAAGGCACCTCGTATTCTTTGTGCAGGAGAAATGTGTTAGGGATTTGGGATCCTTTTTGAGGATGACATGTCAGGGTTGTGCTTTTTGTTTTATAATAAAGAAGAAACACCACATCAAAAGTTTCTCCAATGCTATAATTCTTATAAAATCCATCCTGATATTGGTGACTTAAGCAACCTGTTACTGTCCCATGAGTGATATAAATGATACTTGCTTCTTTGTTGTTCTGTCATTTTCATCGAATAAGTGAACTGTATTTCAAGAAACGAACTTCTTTCATCGATTGGATGGCTGGTTCTATCTGCTATCTAATTCTGCAATGAAGTGATCTGGATATCTTTTTTAATGACTGGGCAGTGTGTGTGTGTGTGTGTGTGAGAGAGAGAGAGAGAGAGAGAGAGAGAGAGAGAGAGAGAGAGAGAGAGAGAGAGAGAGAGAGAGAGAGAGAGAGAGAGAGAGAGAGAGAGAGAG